TCCTAACCAACAGAACAGTAGCACGGGGCATCGGCTTCTACAGACGATCGCAACACCGATGCAAAGTAACCTGCATTAGCCCACAACTAACGAGCTCCCAATCCCGCGAGACACAACTAAAACCTCGATCGAACTGAGGCTTAAAAAAACAACCAAGTGATGATACAGCGCCCGGAGAGAATTCTCCAAAACCCAGCGACAATGAGCACTACCAATACCCACCCCAATCACAACGCGCCCCCCACTCCAACACCGCCACTACCGCGCGCGTCAAAACCACCATCCACCGAAGCACGCACATACAGAGAGGGAGAGAGAGAGAGAGCAGGCAGTACCTCGAGGTTGAAGAGGGTGGAGTAGGAGAGCCCGCCGCCGTTGGCGGCGGCGCCCCCGCGCGACGGAGGGCGCCGCGGGTCCATCCCGAAACCCTACCGCGCCCCCGCCCCCACGCGCGCAGAGACGCAAGCAGGAAGAGGGAGAACCAGGAGGAGCCGGCGGCCGCGGGCGCACGCGAGGTCCCCCGGGAGGGACCGCGGCGGAGGGTGGAGTCGAGCCCCCGCAGCGGCGGGCGGCGGCGGGGAGGGAGGCGTGGAGATTAGGGTTAGGTTTTGGGGAGCGGAGGGGGGGAGAGAAGGGGGGGACGGAGAGGAGGGAGAAGGAGGCGGTGGGGAGGGGGGGCTGCGGGATGTTGTGGTGGGGAGGGGTAGTAGTAGTAGTAGTAGTAGAGAAGGCATGGTGGCTTTGGCATTTGGTGAGAGAAACCAAGCCAAAGGGAGGGAACTGGGAAGGGGGCAGGCACGAGCACGACGCGAGAGGAGAAGAGAGGGGAGCAGGGAAAGCGAACCGGGAGTGCATGCGACGGCGAGAGGTTTTTTTTCCCTCTCTCTAGCGCTTGGGTTCGTTGGGGGGACGCGGGATTTTTCGTTCTCACATTAAATCCGGTCATGCAACTATGCGAATTTTACTCAAGAGTCCAGATTTTTCATCTAAACTAATGAACGGCCCACTATTTTGTCTCTTCAATTGGGTGATTTTAACAAATTTCAAGATGAATTCTACCAAATGAGTATTTGTTACACGGTTTCCCCAGTAATATCAACAAGAGTCTGTCCATCCTTTTACACAAGGCATGTGGTGTGGTATTTGCCTTCCCCAAAAGAATTAAGCGAATGAAATATGGAAGTGCCCATTAAATTAAGAGAAAATTACCCGCCTGCCATTCGCCAAAACCTCCCATCATTATTATCTCCTCGTCGACTTCCACCAAGCCACCACCATTCGCTCATGTCACATTCTATTTCGTGGGACTTCTGAGCTAACACTCAGGCCCAGCCCTAGGGGGTCGAGCTGGGCCTCCACACAGGGCCCGCGAAGTGATGGGGGCCCAACCCCATATATGCTAACATAATAGCCTATAGGAATTAGGAAGCCCACTAGCTCAGTAGATGAAGAGGCACACGTACAGGAAAAAAAATTGTGTCGATTTGGCTTCCTTCCGTGATTCCGTCCGATTGCTTCGCCTTCGCTCGCAGTCGCCTGTTCGGCTATTCGCCGCCCTTCCAGCCGCGTCTCAGCTACGCAATGCTACGTCGACGACTGCGCGCGGCTACATGTCTACGGCGTCGTGCTCGGCGGCAAAACTGCAACTGGCAGCCGGATGCAAAAATCCGATCTCTCTGTTCAATTCTAGGAGACTAGGAGGTACCCAATTGCTCTCCCCTTTGATGTATGCTAAGTTTATGTGTTTAAATTTTGGGATGCAAAATGTTACTCCCAATTGCTCCTCTTCTAATTTCTGAAATTTTGATTTAGGATTTAGGGATCCTTGCGGTGCAGCTGTGCAACTAGGACAGTGAATAGTCATTTTCTCTAGTTCTCATCTTGGTAATTTACCAGCACTCATTTTTATTATAACGTTGAATTGAATCTAGTATGACATAATTTTCATAAATCACTTGCTTATTTCTAAATTTAGAGTGAAATCATGTTGCCCAAAATGCACATTACTATAGTTGTATTAGAGGGCCCATTTTTCTAGCTTCGCTCCAGGCCACTAAATTGACAGGATTGGGCTTGCTAACACTCTAGCATTCTCTTTATCGACGCTACCGTGTTCATGTTATTCGTCTCACCTTTGCTAGTAAGATTGCATGAGCCACAGCCTCTATCGGTGCATGACTTTGTCCAACGACCTCATTTTTTAAATTGATTGTGCCATGCTATGTTCCAATTTTGAAGTTCCTCTTTTAATTCCTATGAATAACGCACACATTGAGAACCATGAAACTTGTTTAATATGGGATATGCATTAAACATTGACTGAATGATATGCATCGTCTGGATTCTTAATTTTGGCAACTATGCTAGCACAAAAGGTAAGGGCTCATGTTGAGACCCTACTTATTCGTGTTCGATTTTTTAGTAGTATACATAGGTCCGGATCATCTAGAGTTGGCCTTAACTCCACGAGATGGATTTCAGCGGATCTTAATTGTCACTTCTTTTCACACAAACTTGATTGTTCCACAATTTCACATCATTCATCTCCTTTCTCGTATCATTCATCTCCGTCCTTATATCACCAATCTCTGCACCTTGAATCGTCCTGCCCTAGAGCGCCTCAAAAGTCTCCAAACCGTCCAAGCAAGACACTCTGAGGCCCAAGCATTGGTTGCCAAACCAAAAGGCAACCCCATGGATCTAGTGTTGCCAATTGCCATAGCGCCATAGTACTGTGCGAGCCAATGGATTTGATGCAAGAGACAAGTTGAGATGATATATATATTTTGTTGCTAAAAAGAATGGGACTTCCAATAGTTTTCAGTGATGACTAGCAGCTAGCCTACCTAATCGTGATCAATCGAGATGTCCATGGAGACTTCTGTATGCGGTCCTGCACTACTAATCTCCTTCATGCTCTAGGCCTAGGCCTGACCACCATGGTTTCTCTTTGGCATGGTGTCACCCAATTAATGTTCTATGTTGAGTTGGCACCGCCCGGCTTGATGATTGGGTTATTATTGACCCCGCTAAAGAAGATGATTTTTACGAAGAGCTAAGTGGATGAAACGGTTGTAGCAAACATGATGCTTACCATAGATTAGAAACAATGGCTAAGATTGACTGAAATCCACCTAGTGCAGTTGAGGCCAACTCCAGGAGATCCAAGCCCCGTATACACAGCTTTGGAAATGTGTGAGAAAATGAAGCATAGAATAAGTACCATGCAACTACAATAGAGGTTGCCTAGCAAAAATTGCAATTTTTGAACGATGATCGAGCCTTTCAGCCCTAGCCTAAACTATTTTAACTTTAAGAAAGTTACGAACGAAACCAGAATGAGAAAAACTTCAAGAACTTAGATACTTCTAAAGATTTAGTGTGTGTTCCCGCATCCATTTCATTGGCCACTTCAAAAGGATTGAAATGTCACGACAATATTAAACATTGTGTGTATTTATCCGACAGTATATAACTATGAAGTTTCAAATAGTTCTTGTAAAAGATTTCCTTGCGCCATGTATGTCATGATTAACCCACCAAGACAAGGTAACGAGGATGGTTCTGAAATTTGCAAATTAAACTTCACAATTTGAAATGTGGCACTTATGATCTTCCAAATCGTGAACTTGTACATGCCAAGCGCTTTGAACTATTAAAAGTTCCTTTTAATTCTTAAAAAAACACATTTCCATGAAGTGGACATAGTTTAGCTGGTTAGGTTCCTTGTGGTGGAACCATCTCATCCGAATTCAAGTCTTAGACTTACGACTGACACGGGTGCTCGCATTTACGGCTAATTTTTCTTTCAGCGGTAAGCGACACACCCGTTGATAGCGGTCTAGTCTTCTGGAGGCACTCATACAGGTAGGGTGTTTGTGTGTATGTTTATAAGAGTGAGGGTGCGTGTTTTATAATTGTCTATGCTTGTACTGTGTCTTAAAGAAACACATTCCTTTTTTCCCCTTTCAGAGCATCAAAACATTTTTCTTTGGATGAAAACCGTCTGAAACCTACATAAATGATATTATTTTTTCATAAACAATTCTTAGTCGTATTGCCAGTTTAATTAGAAATTTTCATATTTATTAATTCAACTATTTAGTGTTGACTACGACACCATGCTAAAAGAAATTAGAAATCCAAATTTTATACCCCCTATGAACCCTAAACCCATAGCAATGACCAAAATTAGAATAGATAAAAAAAATAGTGCTACATTTACAGAAATTATACTCCGTCAGTTGGAAATTTTCATAACACTTCATCCTTTTTTTGAATAAGTCCACTTGTTGTTTCTCATCTTTACTTCAAGTTGAATTGTTATCCCTAAACCGCAATACTAAAAATCTTCACCCCATCTTAATAAAATCATTCAAGTCAGGTCCCATCCCATAATAGTATGGATGGTTGGTTTTACTGACGTGTCATCATAATCAGTAAAAAAAAATTTAAGACATGTGGGCTCACTTGCAAAGTGGCCCTCTACTTTCCACATCCTTTCTTCTCTTCACCTCATCTTCATACTGATAAGCTCCTCCGGCTAGTTGTGAGCTTCACTGTAGTCAGGCAGCCAACGGTGGCGAGGCAGTCCTCGAAGGGCGCTCGTTAGGATTGATTCGGGTGGCGGTGGCTCTGGTGGCAGCCTCAGCACTGTTACGTGGGAGCCCGAACAACTACCCTTTCTCCCTCATCCTCTCAATCACTTACATGTAACATTTTATTTTCCGTGACTAGGATGACGTAAGCAACCATCCATACTGTTATGGGACCTGATTCAGACGGTTTTATCAAGATAGGGGTGAAGATTTTTTGTGTTATGATTTAGGATTGGAAATTAAACTCGACGTAAAGTTGAGGGATGGATAATAGACTTATTCCTCCCTTTTTCAATGGTTAGGTCCGCCCAACGATAACAAACCAATATTTTGTGGCCCATATGGATGCATACATAAGCAAGGGGCAGTTCAGGCAGCAGCCAAGCAGGTGAAACGAAAAGGTAAACCGTCAACAAAAGAGTATTTCACTTTTGACCCCATACAAATACGAACGACTTTGCGGAATTAATGTATCGGAATAAATTTGTTTCAAGTACAGTTGGAACAAAATGGTTATATTAAGCTACCAAAACACTCTATCTGGTCTACAACAAAGGCCCACACAATATATGAAGTTACAGAAGTTTCCCAGTCCCACACCCTTGATTCCAGTCTTTCGTTGCAGTGAACGCTCTTTCGTTGCAGTAGAACGCACCGGTGAACTGAACGATCGTAACATTCATCGTAACATTCCTGTTAGACACCAAATCTTCATAAAATCTCTAGGTATTTGGCAAAATTGTGCCCTGTTCTTTATCATGCAGGGTTCCTAGCCTTTTGTAGATCACTCTGATTGCTCCGCGACTTCACTATCTTCATTAGTTACACCAAATTCCTTTTGGCAAGGAACATTCATCTGCTGCTGTGATGAGATTATTCCCGCTATCGCTTTCATGGCGGCAGCAGTTCTGTCACTGCTCACCCCTTCCTCATCGGATTTCTCCACAGGTTCAGCTGTTTCAGATGGACTATCTTCACCTTGCTGTGGTGGAGGCACAAAAAAGGGAATCTTGCCCCTCTGCCAGTCATGAAGCACCATCTTGGCCGTTGTTGTAAGATCAGGCTCCCCACCCTGTGAACCACAAGTGTAAGCACCATCAGAAATTGTTGGTTAATCTTCTAAAGATAGTTTTTTTTTGCTCAGAATCTTCTATAGATGGTTAATTTAAGCTGTTCATATATTTAGAATGGCATGGATCCAATTAACCCATCTTATTGACACATTATATTGTTAAAATTTGTAAAACACTGTAAATCAGTATACAATTACAATTCTCCAATTCCCCAATCTCATAAAGCCTCACCACAAGAATAATATATTTGATAGAAACATGACTGACAACATGTCAACATATATGCTAAAGCCATACCCTGAGTAGCTTTCCAGTGGTCTTGCTCAGTTGGACAAGAAAATCATTATCATCAACCCTGCAGAAAGATAACATATCCAACATAAGATATGTGCTGTCTCCAATGGTTTAATTGTTTCCATGCACAACAGCATCACAAGGCTAACTACAAGCAAGCGCATCCTCTTCATGGATATACTTTATCAAAAGAGAGCAAATATGCTATGAGTAAACTAACAGAATAGTGTCATAAAAAATGCCAAGTCTTAATGTTCAGATTTATGAGAAAAGAAAAGTAACCCAAATACTAACATACTTATCCAATAGGGAACGCATTGTGTGGAAATAATAAGCGTTATGTTCATATCTATATAGAACAATTGTTAAAATGAAACCATAAACTAAATGTTAAAAGAAGCATACCAGTCTTCAATTTTGTAAGCTCTTTTAAGATGCTCCTTTTTTACACGTCTCAGAACTTCACCAATGTGCTCAGAAGCATCCGCCAAATTTGTCACACGCACCTGACAACAAATGCAAATACATGATGAATGAAATTACCCATCTAGATAAGTACACAAACGTAGCATCTTTAAAATGCCTGGTAATCAACTAGGATAGACATCCATATAAATATAAATATATGCTTCAAAAGTGGCAGTGCTCCAGCGTGTGACCACAGAAAAATATCTGAAGGGCAATAAACAACTATAAAATATAATCCACACTATCCTTGGATTGCCTTGGGTGTTACTGGAATTTTTTTTAAGCATTAATGGACAACCGGACAGATAGGCAATAGTTATAGTCTTGTAGATTGTCCAGGGTAAAAGCTACCCATGGGACTTCTATACCACCTCAGACCAAGATAGCAGCAGCAAGCCCATCTCTAACTCTTATGTTGAAATAATGTTTGCGAAAATGCATTATATATATCTGTCGTACATAAAAGTACCGGCAAGGTGAAAAAAAATATAGTGAGGTGTTTTACTAGATGCTTTGTTTTGTGCAATCTAACTAAAAAGTGAAGACAAAAACGAACAAGTGCAGATACATACCACGCCCTTAAGAACAATATCAGTTTCTGAATCATTGTTTTGGTACACAACCCCAGGGCAGTCAATCAGAAATATTCTTTTAGTCAGAGTAATGTACTGCCACACCTTCGTCTCTCCAGGAATTGGAGCCACTTTGCAAACCTATGGATATAGTATACAAACAAAATACTCAGAAAGTTCACCAAAAAGATGTCATCTGTGAAGCCGGTTAAAGAAAAGAGAATTACACTCTTGGAGCGTAACGTGTTGATAACTGATGACTTCCCAACATTGGGGTATCCAACAAAACCAACAGATATAGCTTGTTTGTCACTCTTCAGGCGTGCAAACTGCCGTAACACTGAAAGAAGTGATCCCTGGAAAAGATTCAAATGCGTAAGGGGTCATTTATGGTGAAACAATGAACTTCTTCAGGATTCTGCTAGCTTACTTTGCCAAATGAACTGTTGATGCTTGCATGGAATGCTAGGGTGGGGTAGTCCTTTGATAAAGTGCGCAACCATCCTTTTGTGGCCCAAGCAGGTACTAGATCACACTAAAAAATGTATACCATCATTCATCAATGTGCCACCATACAAGGATGAAAATAGTCCGTCTTTTGCACTGTGTATTGTTGTGGAACTTATCAATACCTTATTTAGTAAGAATACCAAGTGTTTGTGCTTGGCATTCTCCTTCAGATGTTTCTCCAGATGGTAGCATCTAGTACCCATTGGATCCCTGGCATCCAACACCTGTGCAAAACAATAGGATCAACAAATAAATCAATGCCCACTTCTTTTTTTTTAAAAAAAAAAAGCACCAAAGATGTCTGGATGGTTTGACAGAGTGAGAGTATTTTTTGCAAGGACAAAATGTCACAACACTTACCTGCACGACAACATCTGAAGAGTCAATAACTTTATAGAGTTCACCCCAAATTCTTTTGCTCTGTCCCTTCTCGAACATTGTGTGCCGGACTAGGTCTCGTAAGCCATCTTCCTCTTCCTCTTTCAGCAACTTCGCTGTAGCATGCTTATCCTCAAATGCACCTATAAAACTCAACATTTTACTAAGAGTACAGGACATTGATAGTGGTATTCTTGATAAATAACAGCATACAAGCTCATGTAATTGACTTCTGAAAATAAGAAATACCCAAGGCCAAGAATAGTCTACAACAATCATTAATGATTCTAAGTAGCAAAATGGCCAGGAGGCCTGCAAATTAAAATTTGAAGATCTTTTTGGAATATGAGTGCAACATGTACATGAGATAAATTTGTCCAAGTTGCAAAATAGGATTTCAAACTTAAAGGAAATTGTGTTCTTCATAAATATCAGTAATTACATATAACTAAAAATATTAAGCGATTAAAGTACTGGGTACATATATACAAACTGTACCTTGAGAATCATCAGCTTTCTTCAATAGAGATTCGTAATCAAGAGCCATTAGTTTTGGGCGTTTCCTCTTGCCCTTTGGTCCAAATGCATGCTCAAAAGGTTCAGTGTCAAGAAGATGCGCCCTAGCTTGCTGTATCATCAACAGGGGCAAACATACATACATAAGTGCAACATACGGTACACTGATATAGACAGTAGACTATAGAGCACTTCGCCACAGTTAAAATGGAAGGCACCATGTATTTTAACAAAAGTACTTAATTCTTCAATGTCCAAAATAGATTGAAGACCCAACATTTTCGACAGCCTAATGACCAAAAGAAGTTGTACCTTTTGATGATCCTGCAGTAGTGACAGTGGAAGCTTCCGCTCTTTCAGTATCACATTATAGTTATTGGAAAGCCGACTCTGGAGTTCCTCCCGAAAGAATTCAAGCTCTTTCTGATTAACGACTCGTGTATTTCCTGTAAGTAGCAAGAGCAGAGCAGTACAGAAATAAGCACACTTGCAGACTTGCTGTTACGTCACCGGAATCAAATGTGGAACAAACTGGAAGTAGAAATATTGCAACAGGGAAATGTTCATTCAAGGCATCTACGCATTTTGATCGTATATCAAGCCATAACCACCAATCAAGCATACCTTACCGACGTTTCGAAAAGGTTTCAACCAGCAAATTGTCCCTACCATAATTGAATAGCACATTGAGTCGCGCACTTCCATAAGTCATACCACACAAATTTCACTTGTACAATCATTAGCTACTATTCCAGCAGAAATTAGTACCAAACAGACACCAATTCGACGGTCTATACGATCCATGCTAATTGCTAGGTGCCGAGTTACTAGCTGAATCAACAAAAATTAGTACCAAACAGACACCAATTCGACGGTGCATACGAGCCATGCTAACTGCTAGGTGCCGAGTTACTAGCCGAATCGAATTCGCTTCACTTTTCTCCTCAGCTAGTATCATTTAACTCCCAACTAGAGAAGAAAAGGGGAAAGCGAAGAGGGGGGCGCTGGGATCCTCACCGAACCAGCGGCGATCGGGCTCGATGCGGGTGTTGGGGAGCTCCTTGGACTGGAGGTCGTGCTTCAGGATCTTCCCGCCTCGGTCCCTGAGGGGCCTCATCTTGTACATCTTGAGCCGCCGCACCGTGGCGGCCGAGCGGCCGCCGCCGCCGCCCCCGGCGCCGCCGCCCGCGCCCTTCTTGTCATTGGCGCGGTTGACGTCGAGCGAGTGGCGCGGCTTCCCCGACACGTTCACCGCCCTCTCCTTCTTCTTCGCCATCGCAGAGGATTTTTCTTCTTCTTTTTCCTTCTTTCTCCTGGTCGGCGGGAGAGAGGAGAGGAGAGGAGGGGAGGCGGTGGTGCGGGGGGAGAGAGGAGGAGGCGAGGATGGGGAAGGCTAGGGTTTTGTACAGGGAGATGCGTGCGTCGCACGTGCGCCTATTGAGGATTGAGGTGTGGCCGTGTGGGCCGTGCCAGCCGGGCCGGGCTGTGTAATGGGCCGTCGTCCCATCACCCGCGGCGACGTCTGCCATTTGTCGGCGACATTCTTTTTTCGAGTTAGTTAACAAATAAAAAATTATTTAAATTTACAAATGACATAAAAAATAAAAAATAAAGTAAAAGGGACTAATTATTTATTAGCATATCAATTATTTAAATTCTAATAGAAAATGCATCATTAGAAACACAAAGCCACGATGTATAATGCAACTTTGGCATCAAAGCTGTCAAAAAAAAAGTGATCGTTTTTCACATAATTAGATCATCAAAATATGTGTTTGTAAAGCTGTTTTATAAAGAAAAAAAATAAGTAAATTGTAGTTTGGCTCGTATATTTTTACCCTTGTTTCTGATAGCTTACCCATATTTTATACTTTGGACCGTGTAACTTTACTATTTACTATGTGTTTCACTCAAGACCACATCCTCATATTTTCCAAATCTGGTAACACATCATGGCATCACCCATGCACCTACACCATTGCGTGTGTGCTCTCTCTCGCGTGCACACATTGCCATCACCAAGCATGACTATCGGTGTTGTGCAGCCCAATCAATGTGTAACTTGGATCTAACCGAGAGAGGAGAGTGGTGATGGTGGCAACCTGATCTACAAGGGAGCAGGAGTAGGGCAGCAGCGAGCGTCCCCAGTCCCAATGGGCGATGGTTTGTGTCCTGATTTGGAGGACGGAGTAGAGATAGTGGTTCATTATATCGGGCGCCCTATTTGGAGATAGGAGCATCAACGTATGGGATTAGCAACATTGGAGGGGTTTTAGCTCGAGTGTTGGCATACCAGAGGTGCTAGTGATGAACCTTGGGCTAGGCAATAGGGCAAGCAATGTTGAGCTCCTTGCCATATCTGCACAAGAACAAGTAGTGGGCTGACTCCTAATGTCGCACTACACATATATTCCCTTGTGTTCACCTCTTTCTTCTTCTATGGATGGACCAAATAGCCATGGTAGAAACTCAAGCAATAACTCAACTCAGTACCCTATTCGAAGCTACTATGTTTTGGTAAGATTAGATGGTATTATTAAGTGAAAAATTTATAAATTCTTATTTCATCGTGTAACTAGGGTAATATAAAGTGATGGAAGATGAAATTTACTCAATTTTTAGAGTAAATTTTACTTTGGACCACCTTTTTATTACTGGTGTTTCGCTTTGGACCACCCTTTAACCGGTGTTTTCACTTTCAACCAGGTAATCTTACCTTTGTTATACTTTGGACTACTCTAACTCTTATCTCAAGCATATGAATGATTTCAAGTACGCCGGCTCAAATTCATCAGTAAACCCACACCGCTTTATATAGACAATTTATTTGAAATACGACAAGTTTGATGTAAATAGAAAAAGAAGTTAAGGGTGGTCCAAAATAACATAAATGCAAAATTACCCGGATCAAAGTAAAAACATTAGTTAAAATGTGGTCCAAAACAAAACACCAGTAGTAATAAAAGGTGACCAAAGTGAAAATTACTCTATTTGTTACTATCCAACCAACCACTTTCTCATCAATAATTCAAATCATTGTAAAAAAAAATGCAATAATAAGGAAAAAGAAGGACCCTCATCAAACAAAAAGGAAAAAGAGGAAGAGAAATGAGAAAAAAAAGGGGCAATAATCACCTAATGGCTTGATCGCGATCCAACGGCTGCGGAGAACCCAGCGTGAGCCATAAATCATCCACCCCCGCGCCGTTGTCCGCCTCCCCTCGCTCCCCTAAAACCCTAACCCCCCTTCCGCCGCCGCCCCCAAACCTCAACCCGCCGCCGCCGCCGACGCCGCCGGCGAGATGGCGCTGTACCTGCTCTTCGAGTCGGCGTCCGGCTACGGCCTCTTCCACGCCTACGGCATCGACGAGATCGGGCAGAGCGTGGACGCCGTCCGCGCCTCCGTCGTCGACCTCGACCGCTTCGGCAAGGCCGTCAAGCTCGCCGCCTTCACCCCCTTCTCCTCCGCCGTGGACGCCCTCAACCAGTGCAACGCCATCTCCGAAGGTCCTCTCGCGTTCTTGCGCCGCCGCCGCCGCCAGCTCAGGCGGGATTCGTGCTTCTTCTCCTTTTTTTTGTTTTTTTTTTCTGACGCCATTCCGCGTGCAGGGATCATGACCGACGAGCTGAGGAGCTTCCTGGAGCTGAACCTGCCCAAGCCCAAGGAGGGGAAGAAGGCCAAGTACAGCCTCGGCGTCGTCGAGCCCAAGGTCGGCTCCCACATCTCCGAGGTCACCGGCATCCCGTGCCAGAGCAACGAGTTCGTCCAGGAGCTTCTCCGCGGCGTCCGCCTCCACTTCGACCGCTTCATCAGCGAGCTCAAGGTGATAAACGATTCCGCTTTATCACCACAAACCCTCTTACTAGTAGCATATAACGATTTATTTGCTTCGTTTGCTTGATAGCATAGCGACTAGAATGCATATGTGGGCGTTTGTTTGTTCAAAGAAAAATGCATGCGTTGGGCATAAGTTACAAAGAAAAATCTTGTATGTGTGCTTAAGTTCAAAATCTCGTAAAGAAAAAATGTATGTACACCCGTTTGCTTATTCTGGTTTTGTGTGATTTACTTTAGAAATCGGACTTGGAGAAGGCGCAGCTTGGCCTGGGTCATAGCTACAGCAGGGCGAAGGTGAAGTTCAATGTGAACCGCGTTGACAACATGGTGATTCAGGCTATCTTCCTGTTGGATACACTTGACAAGGACATCAATTCTTTCTCCATGAGAGTGAGGTCTGGTTTCTTCTTCCGTGTTTTGGGTTAATATGATGCATTTTTTTTTGTTGTGGACATGCATGATTGTTCTATTGATTCACCACACAATGGTGTTTGGGCCATCTGTTCTGATTGAGACATTGGGTACTTTAGGGCATATTACTGGGTACCTTGGTAGTAGCTTAATGCTCCGGTGAATATTGATTGCTCTCTTACCTTGTCCATTTTACAGGGAATGGTTTGGATGGCATTTTCCTGAGTTGGTCAAAATTGTCAATGACAACTACATCTATGCTAAGCTTGCTGATTATATAAAGGACAAATCTGAGTTGGCGGAAAAAGATATTTCGAAGTTAGCTGATCTGATTGGAGATGAAGATAAGGCAAAAGAAGTTGTCGAAGCAGCAAAGGCTTCAATGGGTAATGAGATATGATTACATTTAACTTCCGTTGTAATATAAATCTAGTAGTTTCTTTGTAGTAGTTTTTGTGGTTTATTGATCCTTTTGCTTTTCAGGTCAGGATCTGTCAGAAGTTGATTTGATGAATGTGAAGCAGTTTGCTCAAAGAGTCATGAATCTGTCTGAATATCGTAAAAACCTTTATGAGTATCTTGTTACCAAGATGAATGATATTGCACCGAATCTAACATCATTAATTGGTGAAGTTGTTGGAGCACGCCTTATCTCTCATGCTGGCAGTCTTTCAAACCTTGCTAAGTGTCCTGCCTCCACTCTCCAGATACTTGGTGCTGAAAAGGCACTTTTCAGGTTGTTAAAACTGACTGATTTCTTGGTAGCTCTCAAATTCCAAGTAACTGTATGGAAAGTTGTTTCAAAGTACTGATCATAGAGTATACGTCAACTTCTTATGCTTCTTTACTTTCTCCCAGGGCATTGAAAACTAGGGGGAATACGCCAAAGTATGGCCTTATATTCCACTCATCCTTCATTGGCCGTGCTTCAACCAAGAACAAAGGCAGAATGGCTAGATATCTGGCGAACAAGTGCTCCATTGCATCACGCATTGATTGTTATTCAGGTTAGTTGCATAGTTCTGTTTCCAATTTGTATGTCCACTAGTTACTGCTTTTGCTGAAAGAACTTGCTGCCATATTTTGGAATTCAGAGTCAGCTACCGCAGTCTTTGGGCAAAAGCTTCGTGAGCAAGTTGAGGAGCGGTTAGACTTCTATGACAAGGGTGTTGCACCTCGTAAAAACCTTGATGTGATGAAAGCTGCGATAGACAGCATGGTTAATGATGCCACAAATGATGTTGATGGTAAGTTGGCTAACTTCGGTTGCCAGAAATGCTAACATTGAGCTACATGTTACTATCATTTATAAACTGTGCATTGTGCAGATGGCGAGAAGGTCGATGCATCTGCCAAGAAAAGTAAGAAAAAGAAGTCTAAAGCTGAAGCTGACGGCGAAGCAATGGACCTGGACAAGCCTTCCAATGTGGCTGATGAAGCTGAGCCTGGAACTGAGAAGAAGAAAAAGAAGAAGAAGCACAAGCTGGAGGAGGAGCCACAGGAGCAGGAGAAGAGCGTGGCGCATGCCAATGGCGACGCCGAGGAGAACGGTACTCCCAAGAAGAAGAAGAAGAAGAACCGTGAAGTCTCGGAGGACGCTGAGCCTAAGACGGCCACTGAAGGGAAGAAGAAAAAGAAGAAGTCCAAGACGGAGGACAGCGACTGAGTGATCGGTTTGCCTACTTGCATGGCTGATCTTTCTGATTAGTGTTGTTGGAAGCAGAGTTAAAAAAAACACCTAGATTCCTAGTTCCTGAAGACAAGAGCAGTCCTGAACTATGAAATTGCCCTCCCATCCTCTTTCCCTCATTCGATGTTATCAATTTTGTGTGTGATAGATGCTCCGGAATTATTGGGAGCGAAGTATCGCTGCCGTTATAACAAAACTTCACTTGATATCTTATCGCTCTTGAACTTCCCCGGCGCCGTGAGCTTGTCCGAGCTCCAGGCCGCCGGCGTCCAGGTCCTCTATCTCCCTCGCCTCGCCGCCGGCAAGTGCTAGCAGAATCGTATCTCCCTCGCCGGCGGCAAGGGCTATCAGAATCGCACGAACTTTGTCAGGTTAAAGTGACAGGTTATCTCTGGTTTCTCTTGATTCAAACATTAGTTCGGGGTGTTAGAATCGATTGGAAATTTGGAATCGACAAATCCACTGTTACTTTTGCATAGCAGAAAGCAAAATTCTGGTAATGGCATTAGATGCGATCGAATTGCAAAATAGACGAGAATCAAATCACCAACAATACCAGCAACCATTAGCATATTGTGAGAACATCAGAAGAGAATACTGAACTACTCATCGAAGCTCACAAAATACACTTTGTTGGAGAGAATACAAGAAAATGTACTGTTATCATTCGTAATTTTCTTTTACTGGGATCAATTGCTTTCCGTATTGGATACTTGGAAGTATAGGTGCTTTAGCACACAACTGAACAAGTGAAGAATGGAGTACATTTTACATTCGCTACAATATTTTTTTCACCTTTGATTCTCCCTTGATATGTAAATGCCATTAATTTGAGGAATTGATGCTGGTACGCAGAAACTCGCCTGTTTAGGAGCAAAAGCTTTCGTATCTTCGTTGTTGCTAATTTCAAGTCCACATAATCTACAAAGAGTTTCCAGGTCCAGCTCCTAAAGAAGTTCCAAAACAAGAATCAACATCCAGCTGATGATTTTAGAACTGTTCACTAAAGCTGCAACTAAAATGCACAACTGCAGTAAAAATATATGTCGAAGGGTGGTGTCCGCGTACCTCGATCATTAGGATTTCTGATAAATGTGTCAAAGGGTGGTGTTGAAGTTTGTAGCCACTATGATTGAAGTACATTAATGCTCTAACACGAGCCTTTGGCAGCAAAGCAGGCAAAAAAAATTGATATGTCAGAACGAAATATATCCAGCAATATTAAAGCTTGTGAATAAAGAAATGTGCTGGTAACAACCACTAGCATAACACAAACTTGAGATAATTCTCATTCATACTGAAAGGATCAGAACACAATTTTAAAACGGGTGAGGAAAATTTAACTAACAATTGCAGCAATTCGTTTTTTTGCACAAACAATTAAACACTTCAGCAGTATGTGGGCAACTGGGCACCTACTTTACACTTAACAACTATGTTTGTAAAAGCTAGATAACAGATACCATATGGATATAACAGGCTCAAATGTACATACAGAAGGCAAGGATATCACCTTATCATTAAAAGGGTCAAAATTGCTGTTCGGCTTACCTCATTGAGAAAAGGTTCTAACAGACGCAGCTGAAGATCGGTTCCTTCAGCTGCTATGGCGCAGAAGAAACGCTTGAAGTTTCCTAGGTGGTAGAATCTGCAGAAAGAAGATCAGAACATATATATATCAATTAAGTTTAAAATGATGTGTCTCAATAGTTAGCACTTCTGAGTTGTCCCAAATCATACTGCTGTGCACAAAGAAGACTCAAGAAGCATGATGGCTCTTAGAGCATGACAAAAATGAAGGCTCTATGTATGTTGATACAAATAATATGCATAAAGTTACCTTAATATAGATCTAGCAAATACCATTTCCTTTGATTGTATAATTGAAGCAGATAGATGGCCATACCACAAAGAGAGTGAATCTACCTGGAGATAAACAGGAAATTAGGCTACTATTCACTAGCTGGAGTAAGAAGAAAGTATTGGGAACAAGAGAATAACATAAATTAGATTATTTAGAAGGCAATAAAAATTGGGGGCAAACCATTTTGGGTATCTTGCAGCCCAAATGTAGAAGCACGTAGAAGGAATAATATTCAGTCTCTTTACTACTCTGTGAATTGTTCTTGTGAATTACATCATACATATCAAACAGAGAAAGAAGGCACTTCATTAGCTGCTCCATGTTTAGGTAACACAGGGAAGAAGCATCAGAATCCTGGGAAGACCTAGAAAGCTTCTGATGGGATAGAATATGAAACTTTATCTGCAGAAGGCAGGGGCATGCATCAGATAAAGCTGTGAAAGAGGAATAATCTACCCTATATGCTTGCACTTGAAGCAAATATGTTCCTCCACCTTAACAAAATGACATCCGGCAGCATAACATCAAAAGATAACAGCATCTAACGAACAAAAAGGACCACTTAGTGGCTAACACAGATGCCAAGTAGAAAATGCCTGAAAGAACTAATTCATGCATAATCGGAAAAGAAACATACTTTCTCCCAAACCAATTAGAGAGAAAAGGCGAGAACCTCAACAACATTTTATGCATATCGAGTATTACTCTATCTAACAAGAGTTTGGATGAGTGAATTTTCTGGCCTCAACTACTTAAAAAGGATGGAACATAACCTTACAAGGAAAACAAAGAGAAAGTTGTTGAGTAGTAGTTCTGTGATAGAGTATAAGGATGCTCAATTCTATAATGTTAAAAGTTAGATTCCAGACACAACAATCTAAACCAGACAAATAAGTACCCTAAAATTCAGAGGTCTATACAATAAGATAAAAACATGGATGATATGAGTGTACCACATCCTCGTATATTTGAATTGCTTGGGCATTCACTATGTTCTGAATACTGAGGTCTTGCCTCACAGACCTTGTCCTATCAAATATAAAATCATGAACTATCTCAAACTGATGCTCTGAGGAATCCAATAAATGCAAAAGATAATCCATTGTTTCTCGCAGGACTGGGAGAGGGCGTATATCTGATGCCTGTACACTCGTGGAAGAGATAGTTCTGCAAAACTAGCAGGAAACCAAGTGTTAGAAAAGGAACGGAGATACACAGAATTCTCAAATAGCTACCTGATTCTCTTAAAACACACGCGGTTCATGAAATCTTTCAGACCACATGAAACTGTAGTGCAAATTTGTAATTATAACAGTGTTTTCAGGTGGCAAATTGGCTATTCTATGTGGTTGGTAAAGATTCATTATCTTACACACCTTTTATGATTTTTCAGTGGCATTTTTACTCAAGTTTGCAGTGGCAAGTAAATGAATTCCGACAGTTTCACCTCAAGTGTGCAGAACATGATATCTCATTGTATAACTATTATTTTCGTTGATACAAGCTCTTTTTACCTAATAACAATGGCATGCTAAATAAATAATGTAAAAAAAATCATAATCTGCTTTTGCACATTGCTTTCTTTTATCTGCAAACATGACCACATATTCAAGATAAAAATAAGTATTAAATGAATTGATAATCCTGTCCTTTCATCATATCTTCACCCCTGCAAAAATACTAGTACAAGGTAAGTACTAAGTAGGGTTATATTTCATCCAATAAACTATAAAAAGAAATCAAACAAAATAAATATAAATCTGACACTATCGTACATTCAATCTCTTGAAGGCTAGGCTACCCGAATAGCTTCCTTACACTCTGGCAGTGATTGGACAAGACAAGCGTAGATCAGATTTAGTGCTGCATTGCTGTTATTGCATTATTGGTGGCATATGTAACTATATAGCTACATCTAACATAAAGTGTTGATTGTTCCAACACATGCTTAACGGCAACTGATCACCCTTTTAAGCAAAAATACATGCACAGTTGCATGCACAAAAAAAAGCTTCCAGCTCCATATCAAATCCAATCAAAACAGACTAAACCACCACATGGAATGGAACCAAGCTATAGCCTGTCCATTTGCATGGAGAGAACAATCCAAGCAGATACGCACCAAAAATGACCAGCAGTGAAGCATCACCACGACCCAACCGCAAGTTCAAAAAGAAAAAAAAAATCAGGAATGGCCTCCACATGAGTACGGAGAAAAATGGATGGCTCACCTTCTTCACGGCGAGGGAAGGGGACGTGCGCGCGGGGTCGCCGCCCACCCGCTCGAACACCGCCAGGTCCCTCAGCCGCTCCCTCTGCGCCCTCTCCCTCGCTGCAGCAGGAAAAAAAACAGTAGCATCCATGAGCTAAAACGCGCCAACCAAATCCATCCAATTAGGGGCCAACTGATCGCGCAATTTCGTCGAACAGGTGGGGGGCAATTCGCCCCGCCAAACGGGGGTCAGGTCAGGTCAGCCAGCGTCGGCGTGAGCGCACGGGAGGCTTGGACGAAGCGCGTTACCTGGGCACATGTCGGGGCAGCTGCCCACGATCGGCGGGGCGTCGCCGCCGGTACCAGCCGCGGTGGCGCTGGCCGCCGCCGGGAAGGAAGAGGTGGAGGAGGAAGGAGGAGGTGGCGGTGAGGGGCCGGCGCCGCGGCTGAGACCAAGGCCGCGGCCTTCTCCCCGACCTCGCCAGCCTCGGCCCCATCCGTGGCCACGAGTGGAACTCCGGCCGCGGTGGCTCGCCATGTCCCGGCGATCCATGGCGGCCCTTGGCCTCGAGCTCCGAGGGGTAGTCTGGTAATTTGGTGGTTAGTTGAACCGTGGAGTGGAACAATGGAGCTTCAAACGAACATGCTTTTTTAGTGGAGAGAGAGAGGGGGGGAGGCCAAGATTTTTTTTTAACCTTTTAAAATTTTAATTTTAAAGTAATGTCCTGTTTTCCAATTTTTTTTTCAAATTTCTAACTTTTCCGTCACATCGAACTTTCCTACACCCACAAACTTCCAATTATTCCGTCATATCGTTCTAATTTTTTTAAACTTCCAATTTTAGAGTGGAACTAAACACAGCCTAAATCATAACAAAACTTATTTTTAAACTGAATCTTTCGACCACGTCAGCAAGAGTGGTGTCATGAAATACCGTTGCCATGTCATCTAGAACAATACTACTCCCTCCGTCCTCTAATATAAGGGATTTTGACTTTTTGCTTATACTGTTTGACCACTCGTCGTATTAAAAATTTTTTGGAATTATTATTTATTTTTTACTTACTTTTTGCTTGCACCGTTTGAACATTCGTCGTATTAAATTTTTTTTGGAATTATTAATTATTTTTTTGACTTACTTTATTATCTGAAGTACTTTACGCACAACTTTTCGCTTTTTTATATTTTCACAAAATTTTTGAATAAGACGAGTGATCAAACAGTGCAAGCAAAATATCAAAATCCCTTATATTATGGGACGGAGAGAGTATCACACTACCCTGGCTAGTGTGACGGTGTTATTTTGCCACACGCACTCTGGCTGACGTGGGCACGTGGCAACGTTCTCTTGCCAAGCCATTCATATTGACATGACAAAGCAAAATTTTCACATCAATAAATCGATTATTGATGGTGTGACAATATTATTTCGTCACGCACAGACGAAGTGGCGTGGCAACAAATATTCAGGTTTAGAAATAAGTAAAGAGATGATTTATGTTTAGAATTAAAAGATTAAGAATCATAAAAATTCAAAAACCTAAAGGCAAGACGGTGTACCGGTGTTTGAGGTTCAAACTGAGATGTGGGAACTTTTTTTTTCAATTACACAAAAAAATGTATATTCACGTTATATAGTCTACGCACTTGTGAATGCATCATCTATAAAACACTTGCCGAGACGGGGGCATAAATAAATACAAGAAATATAATTGGAAGAATGAGCAGTTCTTTTTGAAAGCTCTGCATTTCTGTCAGGGTTACGGGTAAAGTATACCCTCTACTTTTTGATATACGTCACATATCGATATGGTATACTTGCGCGTATACGGATGTTTTTGGCATACGTTAAGGAAATTCATTATGGAGTTCACAGATGGAAGGAATCCTACTCGGATTGAACTGGGTCGTCATTATATCGTATCGGGTCCGATGTCTCCGAGTCCTACTTGGAGACCAGTTGACCTGCGGTATAAAAGGGACCCCCCGGAGAGGACCTAGGGCATCGAATCTTACCGCCAACACATCCACCACAGCCTACGAAGCCGGAGCCTACAGGAGCCAAGTCGCCGGGTGATCTAGTCGAATCAACTCGACTACGATCTCGTCGGTATCGTCGAGTTCCACTATTCCCTTTGTAATCTGTGGTTTCCATCATATAATCCCATATCAACTAGATTAGGGCTATTACCTATCAAGGGGCCTGAACCAGTATAATCTTTGTTTTCTGCCTACTCGATGTCGTATTACGTAGATCCTCGTACCAGTGTACCCTAATACCCTCTATATCCGGTCTACGGGTATCCCCCGTCGACAGTGGCGCGCCAGGTAGGGGCACTTGGTGCTCAAGGTTCTACTACTATGACATCCAGCTTCGTCGACAACGGCGTCAACACCAACCTCAACCAAGGAGTTCCTACTTCAACAACACTGGTGTGGACTCAAGTCGGCGAAATCGTCTTCCCGGTTTACACCACAGTGCCGATCTCAGCTGGTCCGTCAATGGCCGGAAACGAGAACGCAGTGGCTATAACCCAGGACGACTACATGTTGAAGGATCCTCCCGCCGAAGCGGAGATCGGAACGTCGACGACATCCGAGCCTGAGAAGGATCCTAGTGCGGCCAAACCTTGTCTTTCCGACAAGAATCACGAGCCGACGAGGATGACTTCCGAGGTGACAAGGTCCTGGTGTCCTATCCACAAAACCAGAAAACACACCTCGCAAGCCTGCTGGGTTTTTCTCAACGTCCACGCTGAAATTCATGCCTGCAAAGAGCGTGGAATTCAGCGTACTTTACCAACTCGTGATGTCTATTGTCCTATTCACAAAACAAAGAATCACGACCTCTCAAGCTGCAAGGTCTTTCTCAGCGCCATGAAAACGTCACCTTCTAAGGTCCAGCAGTCACACATCCCCCTCAGGGATGAGGACAAGGAAAAAGGAGCGACGCTAATTTTAGATCGATTTGTTGGAGTAATCGACATCGATCCCCACGAACCATCAGTCTTGCACCTGCTCGAAGACTATGGCTCATCGTCAACGAATACGCCGCGCGAGGTATTGGTTATCGACGAGACCAGCACGTCAGCGCGCGCCAATGCGGAAGCAGGGAATCAAGTGACCACCGGCCCAGCACATCAGGGTTGTCAATGCAATACTGGGAGAAACCACCTACGATCCCGTTCTGAACGACGATCTCGCACGATGGACAGAACGGTTACGGGAATCAGTGACCAACCTCAGCAACGCGTTCGAAGAGGCCGCTGCTGCAGCACACCCGGAACAGCCACCAACTGGCGATGCTAATGGTGAAAACCCTGAACAGCGGGAATCGCCTCATCGAGCCACCCCTCCACCTCGCAGCACCGGTGATCTCCGCGATCACCTGAATGGCTGCCGAGAGGCGCTACGCACACGAGACAATGAGAACCATTCCTGACATCGCGTCTCTTCACGGCGTCACGATAACGAAGAACGAGGAGGCCATTCGAGCGAAGACCGAGACCGTGATAACCGCCACAACCGCCACGATTACGACGATCGCGAACGGCGGGTGCTGGGTGATACTGGTCGAGGACGTCGCCATAATGACGACGATGATGGAGATCGGCGCCGAAACAACAACGGGAGACGACGACAGGATTCTCGAGAACCCAGCCGATGTCCTCGTAATCGTACGCCGGAACCAAGCGACCCATCGTCATCGTTGTCATCTTCCTCATCCTCAACATCAGATAGACATCCACGAAGGATGTACGATCGCCGACAACCCACCGCCCCCAGCGATGGGTGTAGAGCTTTCGGTCGTTCACTTCGAGATGTCCGATGGCCTGAAAGATTCTGACCAGGAGCAATAGTGAAATATGATGGGAGCAATTGTCGATCGATGCGCTTACGCGGACGACGCACTAAGACGCAAGAACGACAAACCGAAGACCGGAGGAGAGAAGAAACCAGTCAAAGACGCACCTGAGTCGAGCAAGAAGTAAAATTGCAAGAGTAGGAAAAGTTAAGCTCAAGCGGATGTTCTCACAACAGAATACGCGGACTCTCCCAAGCGCGTAGACCCACAAGACAGCGACACGAAGAAAACATGGTGCCCTATACACAAGTCAGATAGACACTCTCTATAAGATTGCCTCGTCTTCAAAAAAGTCGCTCGCAATACACATGGCATTGGAAAAAGGCAAGCGAGTGCATGTGGTCGAGAAGGACGCTGAAGCGGCTACTCTAGAATCGGACTCAGCATACCCAGACTCTGATCTCCATGTCTCGCACATCTTTGGAGGTTCCACGACATACTCCTCAAAGCGAGAATATAAGAAGGTGGAACGTGAAGTCTGTTCGACGTGGCAGGGAGCTGCGCCCAAGATGAAGTAGTCTGAGCAGAAGATAGAATTCTCTGAAGAGGACCACCTCAAGACTGCTGTCATCCCAGGGCGATATCCGATCGTGGTCGAACCCACTATTCGGAATATCAAGGTCGCACGAGTTCTGATTGACGGCAGCAACTCAATCAACCTTCTCTTCGCCAGCACCTTGGATACAATGGGGATCCCACGAAGCGAGTTGACACCCACCGATCAACCCTTCCATGGAATCACACCCCAGTCATCGTCCAAACCATTGGGTAAAATTACATTGCCTGTGACTTTCGGCCAAGCAAATAAGTTCCGAACGGAACAGATCAACTTTGATGTCGCTGAATTCGATGCAGCATACAATGCCATCATTAGGAGAACTGCACTCGCGAAGTTCATGGTCGCATCTCACTAGCGTATCAAGTGCTCAAGATGCCGGGACCGAAGGGAACAATCACTATTCAAGGGAATGCTAAGTTGGTAGTGCAATGCGACAAGCGGAGCCTCAACATGGTCAAGCACACACCCAGCCCACCCGCCACAGCTGAGCCACCCAAGAAAGTGAGCAAAACAAACAAGACACTGAAACCGGATGGCGCAATCAAAATCTTTCCACTCTCCAGTGCCAACCCCGACAAGACCGTCAAGATCGGGGCATTACTAGGCCAAAAATAGGAACTCGCGCTCATCACCTTCCTCCACGACAATGCTGACGTGTTCGTTTGGCAGCCGTCCGACATGCCGGGGGTACCCAGGGAGGTGATTGAGCACAAACTCATGGTGCGACCCGACGCCAAGCCAGTAAAGCAAAAACTGCGGAGATTTGCACTAGATCGAAAACAAGCCATACGAGAAGAGCTCGACAAGCTTCTCAAAGTTGGCTTCATCAGAGAGGTACTCCATCCAGAGTGGCTAGCCAACCCTGTCATGGTGCGGAACGCCAACGAGAAATGGAGAATGTGTGTCGATTTCACCGACCTCAACAAGGCGTGTCCCAAGGATCACTTCCCTCTTCCTCGAATAGACCAACTGGTGGACTCAACAGCCGGTTGTGAGTTGTTGAGCTTCCTCGACGCTTACTCCGGCTACCACCAAATCAGTATGGCGAAAGAGGACGAGGAGAAGACAGCATTCATCACGCCGTTCGGAGTATTCTGCTACGTTAAGATGCCGTTCGGACTAATAACCGCAGGAAACACTTTCCAGCGCACGGTCCAGGGCTCACTTAGCGACCAACTCGGAAACAATGTCGAGGCCTACGTCGACGAC